TAAATCAAGACATCTGCATTTTTCTCTCGGCTCTCTCTTCACCATGACATCTTCAATCCACCTATTTCCAGAACGATCTAGTTTCCTGAGAACGATGGCCTGGGACTTGGAGGGACTGTCCTTGAACATGATATTGATTATGGACAATCCCTGACTAACACACAAGTTCAATAATGGAAAACACCAGTGGGGTTCAGAGGTGTTGCATAGTGTCATTCTGCCCCTAGGCCAAAGAAAAGGTCAGAGACCTCCCCCCCATACTTGAAAGGAGGGGAGGTCTCTGAAAAAAAACTCAAATGAAAATAGATGTACAGCTGTGTGAAAGAAACTCAGTGTGTGGTACCATTGTTCTCGATATATCTGGTTTCCTGTTTGGCCTGGTCCATCGCAACTCCATGGATCTCCACTCTGACCAGAGGGTCCACTATAGAGTCCTCCTTGATGTTGACTTTGGGCAGCTGCTGGCCACTGATCACCTTCATGGGAGGTCAGTGAGACAGCTCCAATAAATGCGGGGCGACCGATCAGAACGAAGGATTTCACCTTTAGGCGGCGTTACCTGGATGGTAAGGACGACGGGTTGGTAGTCATGGCGTCTCTGAGGCAGGTCGGGGTCAAACCTCCTGTCGCTGTCTCTCATGAAGCTGGGCTTCAGGACATAGCCGCAGCGGCCGTTCTGACTGAACAGGCCGTCGTTTAGATCCATCCCCTCTCCAGCTGTCTGGAAGTTCAGTGCAACTGGGAGGAAAACGGAGGAAAAAAGGTCACCAAGTTCATAAACCAACCAGCAGGTCCAACATGGCCGACTGCTTCATAAGCACTGTACACTGATGACTTTTTTACAACCTCCTATCACTGTATCGTAATTTGATGAACTTTTATTAAAGATTACATAAAATCTTACCTTTAATGTGATTTGCTAAAAAAAAACAACAACTCACGCACAAAATTATAAGGGCACCGTTTGAAAAGTTTAGTCGCAAAAATTAGGAGCAATATTAATGTCTTTTTCCATGTCACTTTTTCAATATGTCATTCACTCATTTATAAAAATCTTACTTTGTTAAATAAATATTTTATTTCCTTTGCCAAGGGCCAGCCAAGGACCAGCCAGGACCAGCCAAGGGCCAGCCAAGGACCAGCCAGGACTAGCCAAGGACCAGCCAAAGACCAGCCAAGGACCAGCCAAGGACCAGTCTAGGGCCACCTAATGGCCAGCCAAGGACCAACCAAGGACCAGCCAAAGACCAGCCAAGGACCAGTCAAGG